TCATCTTTGGAAAACCCTACGAAGAAACGTTGGGGGTTTGTGACACACTTCAGTGTACTGTTTGCAATGGTCATGTTACTTATTCTTGGTATCACCGGCTATGCATCCTTCACTGGACTAACTGAAGGTAAAATATTGAAGCCATCAGTTCATTATTAGTGATAAATAAAATGAATCTCTGCTGTTACTGCATGCTTTTAGTTTAAAAAATAGATAATTTGAAAGTTATTAAAAGGTTTTAAGTATTATATTATTAAATCATCTGTTAAAGTGACCAATTTCTGATTCAAGATATTTAGAAATGAAATGGATTAAAATTGTTAAAATTATCCATAACCATTTAATTAAATTTTGGATAAAGACTTACCATAGTTAAATTAAAAAAAAAATTAACTAGCTTTTTGCAATCATATGACAATTTCTGATAATTTAAAAAGCAAATGAATGTGCATAACACTCTAAATTTAATGACATCATCATACCAAAGCAAAATTTGAAACAAAACATAATTTAAAGTAACTCTTATTATTTTCTTTTATTTTCTATAATCAAGCCTAGGCTACAATTGAATTTAAAGACTGTCAAATTTAATTCTTTACTCAATACCTTAATGACAGGTGACCTCTTGGAAAACTATTGCAGAGAAGATATCTTAATGAATGTCTGTCGACTTTTCTTTGCTATCACCATTATGCTTACCTATCCTGTAGAATGTTTTGTAACAAGAGAGGTAAATGATGTAATTATTTTTAAAAGTTGTGATTATTTCCTGGCTTCATCATTTATAATATTTAATATAAAAAAACAACTTTCTCTTTGTTAAGATGCACTAATTTCACTGTTCAACTTGATTGGACATAAATATTGAACTCTTCTTTATTTGTTAAATGTTGAATGGTTTAATATCCATAGGTTGTTGAAACTGCTGTATTTCCTTCAAATCCTGAATCTCCAATGTGGAGGCATGTCACAGTTACAGTTGTTATTGTTACCCTCACAGCTGCTATTTCCATGACAACTGATTGTCTAGGAACTGTTTTGGAACTTAATGTATGTTGATCTTTCTTTTCTCTTACACATGATTTCTCTATCTTAGTAAAAACTGATTTTGTTACTGTTATAACTTTCAGACCTAAACTTGCAGGGAAAAAAAACATGAATCTGGGGGAGCAATCATGACTTTTCTAGGAATTTGAATAATTGACAACACTATTTATATTGTTTCTTGAAAATAATAATTATCACATATTAACATTCTATAAAATTATTTTCAATCTCAATTAATATTTTACCAGGTCCAATCCATCATTTATCATAATTTATATCTTAAAAAGTAAAAATAAAGCATCAGCATAAAGAGAGATAACTGGTTATATACTATGTATTTTTAGTACAATGGGGAGACAGATTTTCCTCTCCCAAGCAAATGTAAACATAAATAAGAAAATAAAACCTGTTGTAATTTGAAAACATTTTTGTTAAATCTTTTTTCATACTAGGGAATTTTGGCAGCAGCTCCCCTGGCTTTTATTATACCTGCAGCTTGTGTGATGAGGTTAAGACAAGATGCTATTTTCTCCAAGAAAAACATTGCTGCTATGCTGCTGATGGCCTTTGGTATCATTATAGCCGGTTGTGGGTTTGTCATGGCTATCATTAACATGGTTGAAGGTATCAGTTGTAGCCACGGAAAGGAGCCTAAGTATTGCATCAAGGATAACCACACTGACTTCACCACTGTGATGCCAGTGAGCCCAGCAGACACTGGATCAATGGATGTTAGGATAAGATCTTTTATAAACAGGTTTGTTTAGTAAATACACATTTAGCTGCTTAGAGGGTTCTATTTTTAATATTATTTAACTAATTTAGATATTTGTTTCATTTCATTATATTGTATGGCATTTAATTACTTAGTATTTTAATGCTGTAGATTGACTAACTTTATACACAGTACTTAGAAATTCAAAACTTTACCCGTTATAAAATATATTTTATTTAATAAATATTCCATTTATTTTAAAGAATAGAAATAACTGAAATCATTTTTAAAGTATTTATATTACAGAGGTATAAATTAATATTAAAAAAGTAAATATGTCTGTACTACCTTAGTCAATAAATGTGAAGGATAAACATTGATGTTAGTTATTTATTTGCTTTGTAAAAGATAATAACATAAACACTTTTTACAATTTTTTGGTTTATTTTTGTTGAATTTGAATGTCCTCTAGGAGAGTTATAGTTATACTTTGGAAATATGATGTTTCAAAATGAAAACATCTCAATTTGAACTGAAAACATAAAACTTTTTAAAAAGTGTCAAGACAAAGTCACTTTTTGATGAGCTGTGATTTCCTTTTGTAAAGGGTTTTAATTTACTCCATATGTAAATATTTTTCATCATATCATGTAATTTATATATTGTGTATGTACCGTCATCTGAATAGAAATTTGTATAGAACATTAAAGCTTTTTGTTTTAAAGATACATTATCTTGTATTCTTTATAAAGCCATATTTTAATTTACATTTCAAACTGAGAGTGAAGTGAGCTAATATTTATTGACTTTTCAGCTCTTTAAAGATGAGAAGAAACATATGAATTTTGAGTTTAAAAAAGGAATTTTATGAATAATTTAACCATTGCCAGGCTGTGTTCTCAAAACAGTAGCAATTATAGAATATTTACTCAGCTGCTAGACTTTAATTTTGTTACCGGAAATTTGATCGAACGGAAAGTTGGTTGAATCTTTTTTTGAGTTTACGCATTAAAATTTTCTTCAAATTTCTTTTTGAACTCACTATACTATATAGTAAAACAAAATAATGTGTTCAAAAAGAAATTTAAAGCAAATTTTAATGTAAAAACTGAAAAAAATATTTGACCAAATTTCCGTTTGATCAAATTACCGTCTACGAAATTTCTTTCGATCTGATTTCCGGATACGCTGTAATTTATATTTTTGTGTTTAAACTAAATACACATCCATGAGTGATCTCATGCCTGGTTACAAATGTAGGCCTATTGAAAGTTAATCATTGAGGGAAAGAGTCAAGATGAGAGAGATTTCTTTATTTAACTTTAGGAGGTCTAAGACATGACACACATCTAATAGTAATAGCGGGCCTAAGATTTTTCAGGATCTGTTGAACCAAAGCCTATGGAGTCAGAATAAGAGGGTCATGGCCTCCCCCCCCCCAATTTTTCTTTTCTTCCTGAGGTTATTCTTTGAACAAACAAGGGAAAACAGGGTCAATGTGTTCAGTAAGAGGGTTGGTTGGATGAGTTTGGGGGATGATGGAATGTTAAATTTAACTGTTGTACACAAGTCTTTAGTAGAAAAAAGCTGATACAAATATGTCTTGATCAAGGCAAATTAGTTTCACTAGTGCTGCAGAGGATGAACGAAAAGGCTACATAATAAGATCTGATCCAAACATGATAAGAATTTAAAGAGGAAGAATCATTCATTTTTAGAAAGAGTAATAACAGTTTGCTTGAAATAACTTATGTTATCACTATAATTAAATGACTATAGTTTTATGTGGTATCTGTAGTAAACTATGTATAACTCCTTGACAAAATTTAAACACAAAGGAGACTAAAAAAACAACCAATACTTTAAATATTATTTTGCCCAAAGTTGAGTAGGATTTTTAATAATATATATGATCATTTCAATTATTGTCTGACTGCTGACATGTTAAAAAGGAGTTCAAAGACAGAGAAAAAGAATTTTTGGATTCTTTCTTTTTTTTTAAAAAAATGAAATACTTTTAAGATATAATTGAATTTTTCAAAACTTGTGCGCTTCCGATAATCAGATTTTAGAATTTTATTGAGTAGATGAATGCATTGTGTGAGAATTACTAGATATGTTTTAGCTTGTGTAAACTTAATGTTAACAATGACAACTCTAACACTCATGTTAACCTTGGCTATGTTTTAAGTGTTCAAACCCCATTAACTGTATATAGTTTTTGTTAAATGTGGATGCTCACCATTAAAAATTAACTTATTTTTACTACAAATATAATCAAAAGCATAATTATTTAATGGTGTTACACAATCTTTACAAAGTTTTTTTTTTTTTTTTAAATAAGGTGAATATTATATTGTATTATCAAATCTTCACTCATTAAATCAGGGTTTCTCAACCCCTTATTTACCTCAGTCCCAGTGCCTGAACCACTTAATGTACCCCCCCCCCCTCCTTTCAATATTTGTAATGCAATAAATAAAAAAACAAAATGCAGTAATTAACCTGACTAACATTGAGCATTAAGCCCTCCACACTTGCAAACTGTTTAAAATAAATCTGGGAATAAAACAAAATTAATTTGAAATATTATTGAAGTACATAATGAGCCGTAGGAAATATTTACAAAAGAAAACACATTTTCTTAATACTAACTATACATGCATTAAGTTGAATTTGTTTATGTCAAAGCTGTTACTTATTTATGTTGATGTAAAACTTACTTGTGAAAGATGGATATAATTTACCTAAAAAATTCTAATTATTGGTTTATGAATCTTTTTTTTTTCATGAAATAAAAAATAATATATCAATATTACTAAAACCACCATGTCTGCTTAGATTTGTAGTTAATTGTGAAAGAATAATGACTTTCAAATTAAGTACTTATAGTTGTATTAAAATAGCCTTTAAACCAATTACTTAATTTAAGTTTGAGTGTTGTAGGATTTCCATAAATGTTGATCATTATATGGTACATTAACTGTTGTTCAAGGCATGTTGTTGAATGTGAATGTTTTTTGTTCAAATATAAATTATAATAAAATATTTACAAAAATCTATACATATTGACAACTTGTGTAAGTGGATGCATGTAGGGTTGCACAAATGAAATTTGTTAGTATGACCAATAGAGTAGAACACTTGGGATTGATCCTTCAAGAAAATATGAAACTAGTTCTTAGCTAAATTTGATATAAGACAATGAAGTGTTTTAGGCCTGTTAACTCTAAACAATGAATTTTGTAGCTATGGACATGGAACATACATTAAGATTATAAAAAAATAAATAAAACACACAAGCTTATCATTCATGTTTCATTCTTGGATTTATTAATGAGTAACTAGACTATCACATGTTCAATCTGTTGTCAATCAGCAATTAACTTCTTTCAGGTCTTTAGAAATAAATAATGTACAATATCTCCAATAAATTTTATGTTTGAGCATGTGTGTCTTTGACATATCACACACACCCTTAAGATGTAAAGAACATTCAATTTCACATATTTCAATGCCTTTTAAAAAATTTGGGAAATCATGTTAAACACCCCTCCCAACCCTCTCCAATCTCTTAAAAATTTGAGAGATATCTTCCTAGTGTAATAATTAGCACTAGTGATGACAAACTTTGGACTATCTTGGTATTAATATTAAGTTAAAACAATAATTTACTTGAAAAATCAATATAAGTCACTCCCACCATTAATTAAAGTGTTTTAACTCTGTTCAAATTCTGTTAACTGTGTAAAAATTAATGCAAAAATTAAACCATTCCAATGAAGTAAAAAAGAAGATGACTGGAATTTAAGAAATTCCAAAATCTATACCCCAGGAAAAAAGATGAATTAATTCCCATTTGTAAATAATCTGGTTATAAATGTCTGGATCAGAATGACTTACTTTAAGAATAAACAATATTTGCCAACCATAATTAAAGAAATAAAATGACTGGTTGTACATAAACAGACAGCACCAGTTAACAGCCCTGATGAAAGAGGGGACAAGAATGAGTTGGGAAAGGCAGAATGTAATACTAATACATATGGGGGTTGAGTCTCTTAAATAAGGTAAAAGCCTCAAACTTGTGCAAATAATATGGTTCAAGTGTTAAAGTTAAAAGTAAATTTTGCAAAATATTTTTTTTTGGAGGATTTCCATATGTAGCTACCATGATACTAAATCAAGTCCTTTCCTGTACTATTGTTTAGATTTAAACCTTTTATTTCCCCATTTCCTATTGCATTTGGACTGGTCCCACTCAATGTTTCTGTTGTTTTGAGGATGGTATATTGATTTTTACCTCAATTGGAAGTTTGAGACTTTGCATATCAAGAAGTTTGCACATTACTGAATATACATTAAACAAATGTATATGGACTTGCTCCATGAATTAAAGGTCTATTCGAGCAGACAAAATAAAATAATATATTTGAATAAATAAATTCTTCCCCTTTGGTTGTATTATCCCCTAAAAAATACTTAGTTGATAACCAAAAAAAAATAAGTTACAAATATGATGTCCTATATCAAAACTCCAGCTGTAAAATACATCTAGCAATGAATCAATGCTAACAATAAATACAAATCATTTTTGCCATGGTGGGAGTCACGCCTGAGTTCAACAAAGATACTCTTACAGTAACCCTATAAAATCATGACATATATACCATATTAGCCCATTGTGTACAGTATGTAGAAATTATATACAAAAATAAGTCTCTGAATCTGATAAAAAAATTAAATTTACAACTGTCACTATCTGTATTATCTACATCAAAATGATTCTATTTACACATTCTATTAATATTATATCAGCTAAGTGGTATAGTCTATAACTTTAGGTTTCTGACTTTTTATAGATTCTGGTCCATGTAGAGCTCTTGCTCTCTTGAGAAAGGCATTCACCATTGTCTTTACTATTTCATCAAAAAACACAGTGGCAAGCTGTGAATGTAACTGAGATCGAAATTCAAACACCACCTGGGAAGCACAAATATGTACAATTTAAATTCACGACACAAATGTTTATTATAAATTCCAACATGGTAAAGAGCGCTGCCCAGTTAATAGTTCCTCAAGAGCTCTAAAATTTAAAATACTTTCTGCCATGTTAATTCATTGAACATTTCATAATCGTTGCAACCAGGAGAAATAAGAAAAGCTTTCTACAAAAGTGTTAAAGTGTAATGCTAAAACATAAAAATTCGATGACACTGAATCATAGGTAAGGTGACTTAAAAATGTATACTGACCGAAAAATCTAGTGTGCAAGTATTCGGATTTCCAGACAATCCTGGACTAAACTGCCATATAGTTACAAGTTGGGTAAAAAGCCTCCCATCGGTGCACTCTGACTGTAAAGCAAACAATATAAAATTTTAACATGAATCATAAAACATTTCAGTCAAGACATGAATTTTTAAATTTTTTTATTATGAAACACTCTCTGTGAAGGATTTATATAACTGTAAGGATTATTAAGGCGATGAATTGAACGGTTTAATCATATGAGAATATTTCCTACATGCACAAGATTGGGCCGAACTAATTTGATGGTTGAAATGTATTTCTCTTGCAGTGGAGGAAAGCCAATTTCCATTCTTGCTTTGCAACCGTTTGGACGCACATCATACACAGATGAGTTAGTGCACCATGGAATAAACTGCTTATATGAACCTACATCAGCTACTATATCATACATCTGTTCCATGGAGTAGCTGAAAATAGCAAACATTGTACAAAAAACCAAATGAGCTGAGGAATGCTTATTTTTGACATAATTCGAGGTGAACCATTTTTCAAAAACTGACATATTTGTGCAGAATGCTAAGGTTAACCTTTAAAATTTGATAAATAAGAACAATAAATTAAAATGTTGATATATATTACCATTGCAAATATTATCAATTAAAAAAAAGGTAATGAACAGCTACTCAACTAGTGATATTCCAAAGAACAGATTTTGTAAGTTGTACCAGAAAAAAAATCAAACTAACAAGATCTTGTTCCTCACCCCAGAAGTCTCCTCTCTGAATAAGCTTTGCGTTTTGAAGCATTAGACAGAGGATTCAAGTTGGGCAGTTTAAAAAAAGTTCTTTTAGACTGTAAGTGATTATCATGATCTTGTACAGAACAATTTTGGTGATGATTCATTTTTAGAAAATAGCCCTTTCTACCAGTTATGGAAATTGTGTATAAACATCTGTAGATTAAATAAAATAATAAATCAAATAAAACTGGTTAGACTTAAAGAAAAAATTATTATTCTAATACTCAGTGTGTCTGCTTTACTTTGAGTCAATTTCATGCCCGTTTTAGGAAGAGAAGATTAAGTAATCAGTAATAAATAATTTTAACAAAAACAACTTTCATATAAATAAATTATTATATTAAATTACAACTAATTCAATTTTAGACGAGGTTTATTTTTCCAAAAAATCCAACAATCATGAAATATTCTGATTTAAATATAATTTTAAGTTGCATAACTTAGTAATAAATTGTTGTTTCTTAGTAGACATTACAATAGGCAGATTTAATATTTCAGTTTGTCAGTGCACTCGACGCTTGTAAATTTGAATAATATGGTTCACTCTGTACTGTTAGCATTTGCTCCATGCCTTGCAATTTATATCACATTTGGGGAAAGTGTGTTTCCGTTTACTCAAACAAGGAGTTCTCCTTAGCATGTTATCTAAAATTGTCCTGATAATCCTATTAAAGTTAAATACTAATATTTAATCCGAGTGAATAAAAGCTTTGGCATACTTTTATCTGGATCGTCCAGGTTTAGATACACTGTTCAGACTGGTTTCGATTTACTTTAAAATTAATATGTCCCACAGTTAAAATGTTGATTTTCAAAACATAGGTATCTGAGTTGCCCGTCTTTAAAATTTTTTTTTAATTATTGAATGCAATGCACACGATTCTGGCCCTTTTACAAAGTATAGGTATAATCTAAATATGTACTATACAAGCAGCGACCAAAATGTGATAATGTGATCTGCACACTTGTTAAAATATATATAGCAGAATTCATGCCTGAAACACAATGTAACCTCAGATAAGCACCAGTCATCAATGTTTGTAAAGATCTCTTTTCATAGAGATACAAATCTCCAATACACAGTGAACTATGTTTAATACACTGTCCAGAAAATAGGTTTTACGAACCACTCCCAGCCCCAATTAGTTAAAAAAAATCTACAATCTACTGTTTACCAAGTAAATTAGGTACACATTGCTATCAATTAATGAAATAAAATTAAAATTCTCCTTGTAAGTTCCAGCTTGCACAACGCCATGTTTGTGTAATAACTAAAACATGTTGTGATGCATCATATTAGTTACATCTATACAACACTATTATTTTTGATATGTTAAATCAGTTGCTCGGCAAACTTTCTTACACATCACCCCAAAGTTAAATTTTTCACACTGACTTTACCTCCCGACTGAAAAGAAATTTAAAAAAAAATACTTGTTAAATTCAAAATGGTTTATTGAATCTAGTTACAAGGAGAAACATGGTAAATATTAAAAGGACAAATTTAATTCAAGAAAATAAATTTATAGAATTCTAATTATGCATAAAATAAAAGAATTTCTTTGAAAAAATATGCACTTCAAATTTTTTAGAAAGGATGTTTCGATCTTTGGGTTAAACAGTTTATTTCTATGATTTTTTAAAAATTTGTTTTGGTTTTTTCATTAAAGTGTCTAATCCTTTTAAGCAAAATTGGATTTTTGCAAAAGGCAGCAACTTTTTTAATGCTTCCTCATGAGCAATTTTAAAAATCTTTGCATCTTGTGATGTTTTGAGCATAAGCAGTGGCTACACTAGGTGGGTGTGGACATACCACACCCAGTGACACCTTAACAGTGGAATGGCACACAACAAATCTACGTTTAATACAAGAGCAGTGTACCGCCAGACCAGGTGTCCATAAGAGAAGGGTATCACCAGAGCAGGCTGATGTGTATGAGGTCCATGGGGAAGTCTGGATGGGGCAACACTATGGATATACTGCACTGGGTGACACTGACTCTAGTGAAGCCACTGAGTATAAGATAAATAGACTAGGCCAAATAACATATTCAAAACAAAGCGTTGTGCAGGCTGTGGAACCCACTAGTAACCACAACATGTTAAATGCATTTCTAAGTTACACCGGCCAGATACTGTATTGCCCGAATTTCCATTTTGTAAAAACGCTTTAAAAATAATATTATATTTAGACTGTCTATTGAACTCTCATTACCCCCAAGATTTCCATTTTTACCCCAGTTTTCTTACCACTGTGTTACAATTGCCAATAATTAAAGCATAGTGTTCAATCTGTTCATTACAGTATTAGTTAAAACGTGTTCATTGCCAATAATTTAAGCATATTAATTATTATAGTATTAGTTAAAAATACGAAGTGATTATTCACAGAGCTGTGCGGATAACGCTCGCCGTTATTCGCAGATTTCGGTCTGCCGATAACGATCGACATTATTGGCAGAATGTGATAAATTAAATTATGAATATAAAATACAAAGTTCGAATGTAAACATCTCATTGGTAGTGTAGTGGTCAGTATCTCCGTCTGTCACCCGGAAGACATGAATACGATTCCCCGTTGGGGAAGCTACTTTTTATAAAAAAAATTTAAAAAAAAAATATATTTAATGGTTATTTTGTAGTGTTATATTATAATTATATTCTTCATATAGCTTTCTTATTCTGTTCACATAGTTTTACTATTATTATTATTTTCATATAGTTTTGTTACTTATGTTACAAGTTTCAATCTATTTTGTTAGAATGTTCATTCAATTTTTGTCAAAAAACTGTAAACAACATGGACACGCAGATGAGCTGCATAAACCATGTTTAAGTCAGATACAGCTGTTCAAACTGTACATTGTGATATACTTTTAGCTCTTTTGACTGTTTAATTTTCTTTGTATAATTCCACTCATAGACTTTAACATCCATTTGTTTTTTCTCTAATAAACAAATAAATATTAATAACTTACTTATTCAAATATTTTAAATCTCAGAGTTGTGTATTAATGTTTAGCTGAAAATATATGTCACATTTTATTTCTTTCATTTTATTTTCTATTAAGTATCATAATAAGTAGGGACACAATATGCCGCTCCAGAAATAGTTGAAATAACACTTAGTGATGACAATGAAATGAACATACCGGTACCGTACTTAAAACATTTCAATATCATTGACATCAACAATTTTAGTTCTTGTAAAAATAATGTTGATAATTGAAACAAAAAGCCATACTGCCACTGTTGTAACTATGGGTCTAAATACAAAAAAAGCATACAAAAATTAATTGGAACCCTGCTGGTCGTAGGATGCATTGTGAGTCTTTGGGAAGTAAAGTTCCCTTGGGGCAATTGAAGCAGCGTTTTCAAGTGTGAGTGTATGGCCAGCGCAATAACCAGCTAGCTTTACTTTTCCCCAGCTAAGGCCAGAGCTGGGTAGACTTAGGGACACCCTCAAGGATCAGGAAAAAATACTAGCCTTAAACAGGATTAGATTCTGTTATTATCGATGTAGGGCCTATATGCCCCTCCCCGTCTCTCACATGGCCCCCTAATGCAGACACCTCTCTGCATCATTACACTGTTGCACGGCACGTCAACTATTTCTGACAGAACATTTCTGGACTACGTGATATATCATAGTGCTTTAAAAAAACTAAATGATATCCTATCAAGCTTTGACATCATTTAAAGTTATCTCTAGTGGGTGAAAGTGAGTCTACATGAAGAATACCGGTAACATTTTTATTACTGGTATAACATTTAATATGAAATACCAGAAAATTAGTTACGTCTAGGAGTAGGAGGTTTGACTGGATCCATTAGTAACACTCTATAGGTCGAATAGACCCTATGTTGGCCCCTATCAGAGCAGATGTAGGCACAATAATTAATTGTCCTATATCCAATATATAGGCTATAGTTAGGCCTATTACATTTTTTAAATTTAACTTGTGCATACCGGTAGCTTCGGTTTTGAGATGTGTTTGTGCCATTCTCATTAACGATCGATCTCTCCTACATTACTTAAAACTACACCCCTACCCCGGCTTGGAATGTGATCCTAAATATTTCTAGAAATGTGCGTAATTATGGGAACATTTCTGTCCAACAATAACGCTCTGCATTATTCGCAGATTTCGGTCTGCTGATAACGCTCAGCATTATTCACAGATCTCGGTCTGCCGATAACGCTCAACATTATTCACAGAGCTGTGTGGATAGCACTTCCCTTAAAAATATCTTTGTACCGGTATATCTCTTCCTAGCCCAACCAACACAATGTCAATGTAAGCCTGAAGACCTAATGTGATACTTATTTTGGTCCCGGTTTGAGCCCTTACAATTATGGTTAGACTACCTATACTATAGTAAGACTAAATAAAGAGTAAACTAAGTGACTAAGATTCAAGATGGGGGGCCCATTCATAAATGAAGTGAATCTACTTTTTGCCCCCTCCCCCCCCCCTACCAATCACAAAAGTGTCATCTCATACAAATTAGAACACTTTCACCATGACTCATATTGTTAAAAACTAATGATGTCAATGTAAGCCTGAAGACCTAATGTGATACTTATTTTGGTCCCGGTTTGAGCCCTTAAAATTATGGTTAGACTACCTAAAATATAGTAAGACTAAATAAAGAGTAAACTAAGTGACTAAGATTCAAGATGGGGGGCCCATTCATAAATGAAGTGAATCTACTTTTTGCCCCCTCCCCCCCCCCCTACCAATCACAAAAGTGTCATCTCATACAAATTAAGAACACTTTCACCATGACTCATATTGTTAAAAACTAATGACACCCCGTCCCCCTTTCTAAAACGCGTGACGCCGTTTATTGATGCCCCCAACCCCAGTGGAAGGTACAAAAGTAAAAGGTGAAAGAGTTCGAAGAAGTCCAAGAACATTGAAGTTGTGTTAAGGAAGGTTATAATCAAAGAACATTGTTGTAAGTCTATATTAAATACCGGGTTTTAACAGTCCTAAAATTGTTTTGAAACACCTTCAGGGCTAGAAAAATAGGCCTAGAAAGAGCTAAATTGGCCATAATTTCCAAAGGCTTTCGCCTTATCTATGTACACTCTCTAAGTTTTTTAGCTGACTCTGAACTCTTATTTTTGTAAGTGCCAGGTTCAAGAGAAATGCCACGCCAAGGACAAAGGACACATTAAAAAAAAAAAAAGTCAGTCATTCAAATAAAATTTTAAATTGGATTAGCTAAAATTGAAATATTTAATTATAATAAGAATCTATCATATTTGTTTGCATATGGTTTTTACTATTTTTGTTAATTATTAGATCACTGAAGCTAAAACTTATAGGAAAGCCAAATTGCCAAATGTTTTAATATTTATTATCATACTAATAATTCGACTTTTTCATAACGTTTTTGAAAAGTAAATCCCCCCAAAATTAGGGCAACTAAATAAATATTATTTATATTTTAAAAAGCCTAAGATAATTAATGGACGTTTTAATACGCTTAACTCAAATAATAATAAAATGTAAAGAGTTGCATTAGCATTTAGTAAACTTTGAATAAATATGTTTAGGTCGAAACAACATTTTTCAAGTTGGTTGACAAGGGAGGCTATTTGTAAACAATATGGCGATTATTTTATGTTGATTATGTGATGGAATTAAATACTTGTCAGCAGTGTACGTATTATTTTTTTAAAGCAAGCAAAGTAAAAGCCAACGAGCAAATGACATTGCTTGTATAATCAGTAGTGGACTTAGCAGTAATATATTGGTTTTGAAAAAGAATCAAATTTTCAAGGTAAGCCTGTCCTTTTCTATGCACTCCTACCGACAACTTAAACTGACTGATGATACCGCCTACTGACCTACTGATTAAAATTAAAATTGAATGAATGAATAAAATTAAATTGAGACTAGGCCTAGGTCTTCTATTACTATTACTATTACTTATTTAATATTATTAGCATATGATTCTGATTGACCTATTTATATTTCCCACACCTAACAGAGCATTACCGCCTATTTTATTAAATAATATTTATTGGTCTTATTTTCGATCAATAATTTATAATATTTATATTTATATTTTAAGTTACGTTAAATATTCTAATGGATATGTGACATGTTAAACAAATTTTAGATTGTTAAACAAATTTTAGATTTAAAAAGTAGATAAATCATTTATAAATTATTATTGGCCTAGTATAGAAAATTATAGTATAAAAATCATTCATGCATGGCAAAGAGAGACAAAGGCAAACCCATTCTTGCCCTTGGGCCCTTAGACTTGTGAATTATATGCCCTTAGACTTGTGTATTATATGCGGCACTCCTCAGAACGGCCTTCCCAAATTAAAAATAGAATACTATTCATTAGAAAGTGTCCGGCTACTGTCAACGCCTAACGTCTTCTGGATTGATTACATTCGTCAGTTCTTTCATACGTTGAAGCGTCGTACTATTCTAACTATCAATTAACAAACTCAACTCCTTTTGATAATAACTATAACTTTAATATCTAAGTAAATATAATAAACATCCTATCACTCCAAGGTTCCACTCAAGACTGCTGCACGACTAAAACATACGTCACAACACTGCATAGACAATACGTCACGACTCAGCATAAAAATACGTCATAAAGACAATGGGGGGAAGAGCGTTCACTAACTATAATAGTCAAGCGCGGGAAAAGCGTTCAACAACTAATGAACCTAATATTGAGTCGCAACAATTACTAATGAACGCTCATACTCGACAGCTACCAGCATAATAGCTGCCCATAATTGGTGGCATATTTGTTTACATCTACTCTAATGCTCTATTTAAATTTATTAATTTTTTTTTCAATGAAGATTGCGATCAGCCTCTTCATCATCATCATCTTCTGAAAGAATTTTTTTTTTATTAAAGAAGAAGAAAAATAAATAAAAAAAATGCAAGAGAGATAAAAAGAAAAGTTATCTCTTTTGAATTGCTTTTTTGAAGTTTTATGTATTAGAGTATTAGATGGTTTTCAGCAAGCCACTTTAACCAAACCATACTCATACAGTTCCTTCAGTATTGTGTCATAAGGTAGTAGAATGTTTCCTGACAAAACATTATTTGAAATAGGGTATTGTTTATTTTATATTATTACAAGCAATTATTAGTCTGCAAACAAAATTTGAAGTAAAAAATTATGTCACCAATGATCCACGGCTATTAGGCTGGTAGTCGGAAACTTTCTAGCGAAAAGTATTTCTATTTTTAATTTGGAACCGCCGTTTTGAGGAGTGCCTTTTATGCACCTATGTGTGAATTATGATTATACTGTACACAATGATCAATAGTTGTCTAATACAAAGGACTTAAGTCCTATGCCTATGAAAAAAAGTATTATGTCATAGATTGCATGACATTAGGTTTAAACAATAAATAAATAACAAGTTATTGAAATTATTTTGCATATTTATTATTCTTAACTAACTTAATATTTAATAGGCCTAAGCAGTTGCATAATGTAGGTTCAAGCTTCCACGGGGAGGCAAGTATTGGGCCCTTAAACTCCTGAGAAGCTTCCTGTAATCAGTAATGAACACTTTATATCCTTAAAACATATGTATTGCAATATGCCCCATCACTTCAATTCAAATTCCATGCTTATCCTGTCTCTCTCCTTTCCTATAAAATTCCTCCCTAACAATGCCCCTTTGCCTCTCTACCTTGTCTCCCTTCTCTACCCTTTTTCCTTTAACACATACACTTTCCCCGTAAAATTTACCTTGTCCCTCCCTGTTTCCTCTAACAGAGTGAAAGTCTCCTATTTAAACCTACCATCTTACCCTGCCCTGCTGTTTGCATCAAAGCTCCACTGCAGAAAAAGGGTTATAAGAAGTTTATTTGGAATACATTTTTTTTGTTAAAAAAAATAAAAATACAAAATTGGAGAAATAAAAAAAAATAAAAATTATTAAAAAGTAAACATTTTCCCCATTTTTCAGTTGCTTCACTTAGAGTTTAGACTAATAAGATTTTTAAAAAAAAAAATATTAAAAACATTTTTTTAAACAATTTTCAGTTCCAACAAATTTCTATTCATACAAACGTCTGTAAAGCTAATTTCTTTCATAAAAATTTCCGGATACACCATATTTTTCTGATGGACCTTGATTTTGTTAAATACCTTGTGCTGTTGGCAGATATATTATGTGCATACCAAAATGATTTCATTTAAATTAGAATTGAATGCTGGTAAAATCGGTCGGTGGAATAACACTGTCAAACAAAGTGTCCAACATTGCAGCAGTTCGATTCATACATTCAATAAATTTACCCCAGCACAATCTTCAAAGAAATGTGTTTTTAAATAGAATCTTAAAGAAGAGTTTGAAAGGAATCAAATATTAAATAGTTGTATTCAAAATTGTCGATGCAAAATATGATCCAAAATAAAATTCAGACACCCCAACTGCTTTTAAGCTGGCCTAGTAAGACATGGAATGGGAAGTTTGCACTTAGAAGGAAACAAGCTATTCCGAAAGTTTATAGATAAATTCAAAATTACAGCTAAAATTAAATTAAGAAAATTACTAAGGCTTTTATGGGCAGTTTTTTTAATTTCATTTTTTCCACTTTATTATTCTTTATTATAAGAAATAGAAACTGCAATTCGAGAATTTCTTTTGTATACAACTTTTTCAATATGTTGTGACAATATTTTTTTATTTATTACTTTCGTTAAAAGTACATTTGATAAGTAAAGGGGAGACAAAGTTAGGTCATAATAATTTCTTTATTTTCATTAAATACGTATATAATAAAAGATAAACATTCATTTGCAACAGTAAAAGGAATCCTTCAAGATCAATTAATAATTTATTTTAATTCTGGTGTTATTATTGGAAAGAGTCATGTCTATTAAAAAATATATATATATTATGTCGTCCACCCCCCCCCCCCCCCAACCATTTGCGGAAACCTTTTGTCATCATAATCTTAAAGAGATGTTTGCCAAAGGGTCAACTACAGTATGTATTTATCTTTTCAGATTTTCAAAGCAAACTTTCCATTTTTATTTTCCATGTTCCATGATAGGAAAGTTGAAATATTTACTGAAATGGTAAAATAATTCGTATAGCATTTTTTAAAGTACTGGGACATAACTGACGGTTCGCTATCAGGAAACCGAGCTTATTTTGATTATCACCCTTTTACTCGTGGGCCTATTTGTTCTTTGCATTCTTGTTGGTTGCATATTAACCTATATTTAAGCAACTTTTGTCAAAGACAGACGTTTTAAAATTTCCTTTCCAAAATTATTTATTTTGAATGGGACAATAAAGCACCGAACAGTACTGTCGGAAAGTTTACAACAGAAACATTTGCAGTAACATAGTCTAGGTAAGGCGGGGTTTGGCCAAAGGAAAATATGGGGGGGGGAGGGTGTTGAGGGCTTAATAGACATAAATGCAATAATACTTTCAGTGCAATTTTCAGGAACTATTTTTTGTTTCTTACACCAATGCATCAGGCCTGTGCAATAGATAAACACAGCAAACGTGTTGTGGTTGCTCGGCAGCTAGCATACATTCACGTCTTGTCACTTTGGCGTAGTCCCCCGTGTAGTTATAGCCTATTATATCTTATGCTCAGTGGCATCACCAGAGCTGGTGTCACGCAGTGCTGGTGTTACCCAGTGCGGTAAACCCAGGGTGTCACCCCATCCAGACTTCCCCAAAAACCCCCCTCCGACTTTGCCTGCTGTGGTGGCACAATTTCCCTATGGCACCCTGCTCTGGTAGCAACCTGCTCCGGTGGCACCTTTGCTCTTGTGTCGCCCTGCTCTCATACCCTTTTTAACTTAGATGTATTGTGAAACCGACTTGATTGCCCCCTGCGTCGGTGTCACCCACCCTCACCGTGCGAGTTTCACCAGGTGCGGGGGGGGGGGGTGTTAAAAATGCTGTTGACTTTTGAAAGCACCTACATTTGCCAACATTTCTCCTCTAATGAAAATAGATCAAAGCATTTAAATATATTNCCCCGAAAAAAGCCTTTGTCCTATATTGAGGGTTTTATTAACTTTTTTTTTTTTTTTCATAATTTATTTGATACTTTGAATATTCATCACTCTTTTCCTCGTATAAATGGAATAAATAAACCATT